GATACTCGTTGTTTCCCCTCTTTTCAGGCAGCAAGTTAGGCATACGGAGAGTCATAGGTTGATAGAGATGCAGCTTAACACACCATCATATTTTATTAGTAGTATATCAGTGCTCCATATTATATATTGTTTTGTTTTCAGACATTTAGAGTTATGTTTCATTTTGTAAAGGCTAAGTGCCTTAATACTATTTCATTTGACATCATGCATTGAGATATTACACATTTGTTTCAGTTTATCAGATTTACTTTATTTTATTCAGTCGGAAAATGATTTTGATTATTTGGATATCTCTTTCTCTATATCATGTTCATTGTACTGTCATCTTTACCCTATCTACTTTGTACCTATACTTGTTTATTATTGATTCTATAAGAGAGATATTACTGTAATGGTGAAACGTATTGTTGCACTGTGTAGGTGCATGGCAGGTTTGACATCCTTGGGTTCACATTGGACTGTAGCCTTGTGTGAAACCAGGGACGTCACGGTTGGTATCAGAGCTCTAGTCCCAGCATCATTAGGATCATTCCCGTGGTTAGTCGTGGAGCTAGGATAGAGTTTCCTAGGAATCATGTATAGAGTCAGCTACAAATTCCTAGAATGAGTTAGGACGTTATATACGTATATCTAAAAAATTACGAATATTTTTTTTGATGACTATCTTACTTTGATTGAAAAGTATTTGCGTGAATGATATGTGATACAATTTTTCTATTGTTATATGTTATGTTATTTATGCTTGAGATTACAGCTACTATGTCTTATAAGCTCTTCTCTTGAAATTAGATGTTAGGACAAGCTAGGCAAGCTGATCTAAAGCCTGAGCCATAGCAGTCTCCACAATGTCTGATTGATCTCATAACACCGCTTGCAGCCCGGTTGACAATGATAGAGGAGCAAATAGCAAATCAAATTTTGCCGGTAACACCATCTTCTATGGTTCTACCACCACCGATGCTAGTTGTGCCTATTGCAGAGGTAACATCAGGAGTTATGCCAACACCAGCTATTGTTAGAGCTGCAAAACAAGAAGGGAGCCTTAAAATAGAACGGTCTGGAGATAAGAGCAAGAACAAGAGAACATTTTTAGAACGTGGAGGACCTCAGTAGCAGAGTGAATCTCATCTAAGTGATCAGCAGCAGCAGCAACATGGTGCTAGTTCAACGGAACAACATGATTATAAAGCGCCAAAGCAGCGCAAGTTTCAAGGAAATTTTTACAATTGCCATAAATATGGACACCTAGCTACAAACTGCCATAGCGCACCGGCAGGAGGACAATAGGACAAGGATCAGGTATTGCAGCAAGATCAGAGAATGTTGAAACATCGCAAATTTTGGGGTGCTTGTTTTCACTGTCATAAGTTCGCCGGTCATAGAGCCGCAGAGTGTCCCAGAGCACCAGCAAGAAACCAATAGTGCAAAGGTCAGGGTGAGCACCAAAACCGAGGCCATGACCAACAATAGAGATTTGAGACACCACCGTTAGTTTCGAGTATCAATGGACAGATGCATTCTATTCAGGAGTTACCTCAGAGTCCAATAGTTCTATATATTACAGAGCCTTCAGTGTGGCAGGATGCAACTTCCGGTCGAGTTTTTGTAATATACCACGTGATCATGATGCGAACGGGGCCGTATTAGAAGGTACATTCCTTGTGAACACCTTCACAGATCATATCTCTTTGATTCAGGAGCTTAACATTCTTTTTTATCTATTATGCTTTTGCGGATAGACTTTAGACAGTTACACATTCCCTAGACACTCTTTTGTCAGTTTGCCTTCCTTTAGGAGATGTGTCCTTATTATAGAGTATCTGTAGGAGAGGCATTGCCAGCTTAGATGAGTCTGAGTTTGTGGTCGATTTGATCATCTTGTGCATGTTCGAGTTGGATGTCATCCTTGGTATGAATTGATTATCATCCTATTATATTAGTATCGACTGTTTGCTAAAACAGTCAACGTGTGAGCATTCAAAGGGTTTGAGTTGATAGTAGCAACCTCACAGGGCAACCAGTTTGGGGAGTCATTTCTGGCATACGTTGTGGGATTGGGGTGCCAATTTATGCGAGACCATAGTAGCCTCAGAGCATCAGGATGTCTTTCAGGACATACCTGGATTTCCCCCACTAAGAGAGGTTGAGTTCTGCATCGAGTTGCAGCCGAGCCGCAAGATCTCCCGTGCACCTTATCATATGGCACCTGCTAAGATGAGAGAGCTACAGACTCAATTAGATGAGCTTATATATCTAGGTTTTATTCACCAGAGACATTCTTCGTAGGGAGCATCAGTCCTCTTCGTGAAGAAGAAGGACGACAACATGCGTTTGTGTATCGATTATCGTGAGTTGAATAAGGCCACCATCCAGAACAGATATCCATTACTAAGGATTAATGACTTATTTGATGAGTTGTAGGGGGCACAGTGTTTCTCAAAGATTGATCTTCATTCTGGCTATCATCAGTTATGGGTTTGGGAGATGGATGTTCCCAAGACTGCCTTTCTGACTCGATATGGGTCTTTCGAGTTTATTGTCATGCCATTTGGGCTAACCAATGCACCCACATTATTCATGGATTTGATGAACTGGGTTTTTCATCCATATTTGGACCAGTTCGTGATCATTTTCATCGATGACATCCTCATTTATTCAAGATTGGAGACCGAGCATGAGCAGCATCTTCGATTAGCATTACAGACTTTACGAGAGCACCAGTTGTATGCTAAATTTAGCAAGTACGAGTTTTGGCTATCAAAAGTTAGAATTTTGGGCCATGTTATTAGTAAGGAGGGCATTATAGTAGATCCAGCTAAAGTAGAAGTAGTTCTTGATTGAGAGCCGTCGAAGATCGTGACAGAGATTCGTAGCTTCCTGGGTCTTCCCGGATATTATAGGAAGTTTATCCAGAACTTTTTGAAGATTGATACCATGTTAAAACGCCTTACAAAGAAGGGTGTACAGTTTGTTTGGGGACCAGAATGCCAAAAGGCATTTGAGACTTTGAAGACTAAGTTGACTATAGCACCAGTGTTGATCATCCCCAACAGTGATAAGACTTTTATAGTCTACACAGATGCATCTTTGTCATGACTAGGAGGTGTTTTGATATAGACTCAAAGAGTGGTAGCTTATATTTCACAGCAGCTGAGGACTCATGAGCAGAATTATTCCACACATGACTTGGAGTTAACAGTGGTAGTATTCACACTGAAAATGTGGAGGCATTACCTTTATGGGGTACAATTTGAGCTGTTCACAGACCATCAGAGTTTGAAGTATCTTTTCTTTCAGAAGAAACTCAACCAGAGGTAGCAGCGATGAGTCGAGTTCATTAAGGATTACGAGTTCACACTTCCGTATTATCCGGGTAAGGCGAATGTTGCAGCAGACGCGTTGAGTAGGAAGCATCACCATGGACTTGCAGCTTTAATGTGCTCGTTGTATCAATATATTCTCACTCTTAGTCAATTTGACTTTAGTCCAAAGATTAGCGGGAGTAGTGCATTTTTGGAGCTTTAGCCGTACAGCCGTCGTGGACTGATAGAGTGATCAGTGCTCAAGCGAAGGACTCTTGGGTTCAAACCCGAAAGGGGAAGATTTTCAAAGAGCCCAAGGATGATTGGGCCATCAGATTAGATGGGGGCCTTCGAATGAAAGGCCGACTAGTGGTGCTAGATATTTCACAGTTGAAGAAGGATTTATTTAATGAGGCACATCGCACCAGGTACATAGTGCATCCAGGCACAACCAAAATATACAAGGACCTGAAGAGACATTTTTGGTGGAGCAGCATGCATAGGGAGATCACGGAGTATGTATCTAAGTGCTTTACCTATTAGCAAGTGAAGGTAGAACATCAGAAACCCGTAGGAACCTTACAGCCTTTACCCATTCCTGAGTAGAAGTGGGCAAATATTTCTATGGATTTTATTATGATCTTGCCAAGATCCAACAAGGGGAATGATTTGATTTGGATGATTATTGATTGATTGACGAAGTCAACGCACTTCCTACCCGTTAAGACTATTTACACGGTGGAGACCTATGCGAGGATTTTAATTGGAAGATAGTACGATTATATGGAGTTCCGGAGACGATTGTGTTGGATCGGGGCACAGTTTTCACCTTACATTTATAGAAGAGTTTCTAGAATTCTTTCGGTAGCAAACTATCATATAGTAGTGTTTTCCACCCGCAAACAGATGGCCAAACAGAGAGGGTCAACCAAGTTTTGGAGGACATGTTGCGGGCATGCGTTATCGATTTTTAGGGTAGCTGGGATGATCATATTCTATTGATTGAGTTTGCCTATAATAATAGTTATCAATCTACTATAGGCATGGCACCATATGAAGCATTGTACAGGAGACCTTGTAGATCACCTATTTGTTAGGCAGAGCCGAAGGACAGTTTACTACTTGGGTCGGAACTCATAAGGCAGACTAACGAGAAGGTGGCATTGATTCGAGAGTGTATTCTTGTAGCCCAGAGTTGACAGAAGAGTTATACGGATCAGAGGTGACGACCATTAGAGTTCTAGGTCTGGAACTATGTGTTATTAAAATTTCTAGAATTCTTTCGGTAGCAAACTATCATATAGTAGTGTTTTCCACCCGCAAACAGATGGCCAAACAGAGAGGGTCAACCAAGTTTTGGAGGACATGTTGCGGGCATGCGTTATCGATTTTTAGGGTAGCTGGGATGATCATATTCTATTGATTGAGTTTGCCTATAATAATAGTTATCAATCTACTATAGGCATGGCACCATATGAAGCATTGTACAGGAGACCTTGTAGATCACCTATTTGTTAGGCAGAGCCGAAGGACAGTTTACTACTTGGGTCGGAACTCATAAGGCAGACTAACGAGAAGGTGGCATTGATTCGAGAGTGTATTCTTGTAGCCCAGAGTTGACAGAAGAGTTATACGGATCAGAGGTGACGACCATTAGAGTTCTAGGTCTGGAACTATGTGTTATTAAAAGTATCACCGATGAAGGGAGTTCAGCGATTTGGCAGACGAGAAAAGCATGCCCTAAGGTTCATTGGACTATTTCAGATTGTGGAATGTGTTGGAGTTGTTACATATCGGCTAGATCTTTCAGCATCGATGCTCAAGAAGCATTTACGTGACGAGGAGCTGCGGAGAGTGTTAGATGTGCCCGCGATTGAGCTTCAGGTAAATTTGACCACTATTGAGATCCCAGTTCATATTCTTACTAAGGAGGACAGGAAACTTAGAAATAAAGTGATTCCATTAGTAAAAGTTCAGTGGAATCGGAAAGGAGCTAAGGAGGCTTCTTGGGAGGGTGAGCAGGATATACGTTGCGATTATCCGCACCTGTTTGAGCAGGTATAATGTCAACTATGATTTTTTTTGTGTTTATTTTGTCTTTATAGACACAGTTGCATTTAACGATGGAATATGGATATTAACACTTAGCTTCTAATCATTCGGAACACATGGTATATACATGGGGTTCCTTGTTTGGATTTTTCGCCCGACGTACTAATTTCATTTAATTAGGGGTTAAGTGAGAGTATTTGTATTCTAGATTGTTAAGTGAAAATAGGGTTTCTTGTTTGGATTTTTCATCCGACGTACTAGTTCTATTTAATTAGGGGTTAAGTGGGAGTATTTGTATTCTAGATTGTTAAGTGTAAATACTGCTTATGTTTCTTATCTGGGGATTAATGATGAGATGTATACATAAGGGTTTCCTTTTCTAGATTATTCCCTCAACATCCTTTTCTCATATTATTAATCCCTAAGATACGATTGTGGAATTTCGAGTACGAAATTCTTTTAAGGGAGGTGAATATAAAACCCCATAAAATTTTGAAATATTATAGAAAATAATATTAAATGATTTTTATTATGATAAATATCATTTATTGATGAATGAGTGTGATAGTAATTGATTTGAGATCAATCAAGTGTATATATGAGAGCATACAAGTGTTAAACATGCACACACATGCAAAACCTGTAGGCTGGAAAATGTCTCGGGTAAGTCAACTTATGCTCGCCTATAAGTCAACTTATGCTTACCTATAATTCAACTTATGCTTGTCTATAAGTCAACTTATAGGGTGCCAGATTCTGTGCAGGTTTTAGTTTCAGGTCTGTTTCGTTTTGGTTCAGCCTGTTTGTGTATATAAGAGAGAGAGAGAGAGAGAGAGAGAGAGAGAGAGAGAGAGAGAGAGAGAGAGAGAGAGAGAGAGAGAGAGAGAGAGAAGGAGAAGAGAGAGAGAGAGAGAGAGAGAGAGAGTGTGTGTGTATGTGTGTGTGTATATATGATATTTCTCTAAATTTCCTCCATCTTTCACGTGAATAAATAGCCACCCTCTCCCCTTAAAATGCTATATCTTATTTTGGTGAATTTTGAGAGTTTTATGAAGCTAAATACTAGAAGAGGGCGAGATTCTCGGTGTTTGATAAAGGAGGATCGTGTTTCTTACGTATTTGGGGAGTTCAGTACATTTTGAGGTAAGTTTCCATCTCCTCCAATCTCATCCCCATTTTTATTTGATTTTTATTTGATTTTATTGGGCCTTGAAACCTAGTTTAAGTATAAAGATTGTTCTTTTAAACTATAAGATACAAAGATTTGATCTTTTTTTTAAAGTTATAAAGTAGATTCTTTGAATTAGATTCCAGTTCTAAAATAAATTTAACATGAGATTTTGTTGAGATTTATGGTTTTCATGATAATTCTTACAAGCATGAACATGTTAGGGTTAATAGAATTCACTCAAACCTGATAAATTGAAATTTTATGTAGTTAATCGAAACCTATTCACATTAAACAAGTTTAGTTATTTATGTTTTACATAATAATACCATTTAGATGAATTGTAGTTCAAAATTTTGCCATGATGCCCACTTTCATGTTCTGTTCGGGTTGGTCTACCGGAGCAAAGGAGTCGGTCGACCGATCCCGATAGCTCTGCGTGAGCACGTTTGTGCACGATGCTGATCGGTTGACCGATGGTATACTTTGGTCGACCGATATGATGTTAATTTGAGTATTTGTATTTTTCTACATTTGTATGTTCGTACGCACAAAGAATAAGTCACACGTCGAAATACGTGCGTGCCCATGAGGAGTACGATTTGGATTCGAGTACACATAAACCTTCGTGAGTGGGTAACCTCATGTTTCATTTTCACCACGACTAGGAGATGACTAAATAGAGTAGTATATGTCTATCCGCATGGTGATGCGATGAGGTTAGTTAGCCGTATATGCCGTTTTGCATGGTGATGCGATGAAGCTAGTGAGCCGTTTATGTCGATTCGCATGGTTATGCGATGAGGTTAGTGAGTCGTCTATGTCGATGTGCATGGTGATGTGATAAGGCTGGTGAGCCGTATATATCGATCCGCATGATGATGCGATGAGTTGTAGGATTTTATAAGTGATAGCATTGTAAAATATTTAATAGCTTGAGTATTAAGCGAAAATTTCTTATGAACGTAGTTCACCGTTGAGATATACTATGGAAGGGGTATATTGTATTGTGATTTGCACAGGATTATGCTCTGATATTCGTAATGTCTACCCACTGGTAGCGTGAGATGCTTGGTTTGACATACTTGAACTTGTTTAGATGATATTTAGATTTGTTTTCCTTTATTGTTTCAGTCATAGGATTTGGAGATTGGTATTTAGCAATCCACAATTTTTGAGATACGAGGTATATACATGAGGGTTTTTTTATTTGGATTGTTTCGTTCAACGTATCCATTCTCGTATTGCGGATTTCTAAATATCAATTTTTGCTTAGTTCAGGATAGATGATTTATATATCTATATATGTACTAACTTGTATTTTCATATACTCCTAACACCCTCCTCCTTAGGGGCATGAAGATGATTTCGCTAGCTCTTTGACGCTCGGTGTTTCCCATCTTTTTAGGCTGTGAGTTAGGCACACAAAGAATCACAGGTTGATGGAGATGCAGCTTAGCACACCATCATAATTTATTAGTAGTATATCAGTGCTCCACATTAGATATTGTTTAGTTTTTAGACATTTAGAGTTGTGTTTCATTTTGTAAAGGCTACATCCTTAATACTATTTCATTTGACATCATGTATTAAGATATTACACATTTGTTTCAGTTTATCAGATTTACTTCATTTTATTTAGTCGGAACATGATTTTGATTATTTGGATATCTCTTTTTCTATATCATGTTCATTGTATTGTCATCTTTACCCTATATGCTTTGTACCTACACTTGTTTATTATTTATTCCACTAGAGAGATATTACTGTGACGGTGAAACATTTTTTTAAACTGTGTGGGTGCATGGCAGGTTGACATGCTTGGATTCTCCTTGGATTGCAGCCTTGTATGAAACTTGAGGCATCACATTAGGTTCCGAACTCATCCAATTACCCGAGAAGAAAATATCATCTCAAGATGGCTTAGGAGAGATATCGTAGCTGGGCTGATACAGGTAGAGGACCTTTAAAATTTGATGTCGGAGATCATATGTTTGTCAATTTCACTGACTCAAGGAGTTCACTAGTACAAAAGTGGTCAGCCCCAACGGTTCAAACCGTTGGGGCAGATAGTGACCCCAACGGTTCAAACCGTTGGGGCAACAAATTCACCCGTTGGGACAAGTTGCGTTGGGGCAAAGTTTGCCCCAACGGTTGTTTTAGCAGCACCAACGGTTCCAACCGTTGGTGCTGATATTTTTTTAATTTTATTTCTTAAAATATAAAAAACCATGCACCAACGGTTGGAACCGTTGGTGCAAACAACAGCACCAACGGTTCAACCGTTGGTGCAAACAACTTGCACCAACGGTTGAAACCGTTGGTGCTGATGTTTGCACCAACGGTTCCAACCGTTGGTGTAAACAACTTGCACCAACGGTTTCAACCGTTGGTGCAAGTTTTTTGCATCAACGGTTGGAACCGTTGGTGCTGTTAACGTGCACAACTCGTGCACCTTATCAGCCCATAGTAATGTGAGAATTCAAGAATGATAATCAACCTGTTCATAGCAATATTCCCATGCAATTATAAAACCAAAAACATAAATGTCATAAAATGAATTCAAGATCCTAACACCATACGCAATTATAAGCCAAAACAAAAAATTTACTAAAATGAAATGCGAGTAGTAATTTTTAAACAACTAAATCACAAACATAAAGAATATCCAAAATACAATGTCTCAAATATCTAAAAAGTACAAGTCATTGCTGACTGAATTGAAAAAAATCAACAAAAGCCTTGCAGACGTCCTCCTCGTCGTAATTCGATCTCTGTCTTGAACTCTGGAGAGAAATTCGATCTCTGTCTTGAACTCAAGCTCACCTTGCATGGTCAAAGCCTCCTTGCAAGGTCACTAGCATCTGCAAATTTATACTGATCCTCTTTGCAGCATCATTCACGTTATGACCGATTGTTCTTTTCTGTATTGTAGATCAAAGCCTCCAAGACTTCAGCCCACATTCACCTATTCAGATATCTAAAAGAGGTTTGGGAATTGATCTGGGTACCATAGTCCAGAAAGCTTCAATTTTGGCAGAGAATGCTTGTGCTGCTGCCTCGTCCCCGAGGAAATCTGACAGAGAAATGTTCATCAACCAACTGATGATAATAAGCACTTTCAATAGTCTCCTTCCTGTACATGAAGCGCATAGATAAAAGCAAGTCATTTGAAGTTTCTGTCCCTGGCATGCAACTCACGTGCAGTGTAAAACATGATGAAAATCTATCAATAACCTTTAACTATCAAAAAGAAGAAGTGTTATATTCTCATCTCTTATGCTTGCTTTTTATCCTTTTGACAATCAAAAAGAAGAAATGGTTTATAATATATTTTAATTTCTGCAGACACTTGCATTTACAATCAATAAAGACTTGTAATTTGTTTATTTGTAACCTTGCAAACTGATTAGTATGCTAGATCTTTTTAGACTAGACATGACGCCTATTAGAGATACATAGCCGAGTATATATCTAACAGACTCAACAGAAAAATGACAGCTTGGCTACTAGGAAGAGATCAAGATACATGAAATGAGACCTCACAGTAGACGGTTGATTGGAAGAGTACAGTCATAAAAGTTTAATGACACAAATGTGTAAATTAGATGACAAGTGTAGTACGTTTCAGCAAAGCAACTGAAAAGATTACCTGTATAAATAGAAGCCTCCCTGGCAGCCACAGGCATATTGGAAGTATTCGTGACAAGTGTAGTACATTTCATGATAGATTCTTCACAACCATCAGGCAATGTCATCGTTAATTGTGGGAAATCCATAAGCACCTGGCATATTTTAATAATGTGAATCATAGAAAACAAAAACAACAAATAAAATTCATATGCCTGAAGCATGTAGATAACAGACCTCAGCCATTTCATTTCCTCTTTCTCCACAGCCCACATAGACCACTGTGTTGGAATTAGAGTACTGGA